GGTGACAAGATCAAGTACAGAGTTTGATTTTAGGTCAATGGCAATGGGAATATGCGAACTACTATGGTTGAATTCTTGATGATTTAAAGATAAAATAGGAAAAACCAATAAAAATATACTATGACAATAAATCTACCATTAGTATTGCTCATAATCTCGTACAACATGATTAAACGAAGTGTATAAAAGTTAACGAATAATTTATGAAGGAGAAACTTGAAAGTGGCCTAATATGTACTTCATTTGTTTCATCAAAGGATCAATTAGCATATATACTCACAAAGGGGCTGCCAAGCACTTATTTTAGGATATTGTTAGCAAGCTCGAAATAGAGGATATCCATTCACCAGCTTAAAAGTGAATGTCAAATTATGTGGCTTTATTAAGAAAGTTGTGTGACTATAGAGGATTTTGTGTGATTTTCTAATTTTTAGGATTTTGGTTAGGTGTATAAACTGTTTGGGTAGTTTCATATTTTGTGAGGATTTTGTTACTGTTTTTAGGCTACAATATAATGTATATAATTATCTATTGTAACCTATTTGATTAACTAAGAAAACATTCTTTCTCCCAATTACATTTCTCAACATATAAAAATTTAAAATATATAAAAAAAACTAATACAAATATATAATTCGATTCCCTTTGATTTTTTTTTTTCATATCCCAATCTGAAATTTAATCCAAACCTAATATATACATTTAATATCTGACTTTGATTTGAACTAAATAAGAAAAAATTGATATGAATCGAACAGAACACTACGATTTCAAATCAGTTTTCAATTTTTTCCATTTTTTCTCACCCCTAGTCATACCCATAATAAATGCTTATTAAATAAAAAGCCATCAAGTCAAATAGATGAAAAAAAATCAAATGTCAAATATTGTCCAAAGAAAAGTAATAATTGTCATACCCATAATAAATGCTCATTAAATCAAAAGCCATTAAGTAAAATAGATGAAAAAAATACAACTTGTCAAATACCATATTTTTGTTCAAAGAAACGCAATAAATAATCAAAATTATTGCATTTTAAATCATACAAAATTTAAAGTTGAAAAATATAAAAAAAAATCTACGAGTTATCAAATATTGCATTTTTGTTCAAAGAAACACAATAAATAATCACAATTACTATGCTTCAAAGCCTTAAAATACAATATTTGAGTGAAAAAATATTAAAAAAAGAGTACTCAATTAAAAAAAATTCCAGACAAAAATAAACCACAATTGCTTAATTTTCATACGTTGATTTTCATGGGGATAAAATAGAAAGAAAATATTCGTTATTCAAGTCAAATGTGGGACAAAAGTAACTTTTCACTTGGAATCTTAAAAATCACAATAAGATGAGGGTTTCTAATTTTAAAAACTATTAAGAATCTAACATTATCTCCAGAAACCAAAAACCCATGAATCAAACGTGAGAATTACATTCCCATAAATAAGATTCCAAGAAAAAATCTCAAATTCCCCAAACTAAACGCCCTTTTAGTAATATGTATAACCTAGTTAAGTTTTTTTGCCCTAAACCATACTACATATTTTTTAAAAAAATACTACATATATTAGTTTTTATTTGGATAAATTATAATTTTATTTTTCAAGAAGCAGCAAGTCACCGCTACCATATAACAGTTTGTACAATTTGGTATCACTTCATTGATTTACAATACAAAAATTTCTCTACTTAGATCCTATTTCACACTTAATTCTTTATTAACATGATCAAAATCAACATACACTAATCCTGCTACTCGAAGTCAGACTACCTCTTTGATATGCCTCCAAACCTACCCACCGCTATTTTCTTTTAACTTGAATTGCCTCTTATTCCAGTTCATTCCATATCAAATACATGTAAGCTCCCTAGGCCAGTCTCAATATGATAAAGAGTAAAGCCTTCTTTCGAAACATGGTAATTGCCCATTGAAGTTTAGTCTCCCAATTAGCAACTTCTTTTCGTAACTGATATTGTTGCAAAACCTATTTTCATACTGCCTTGGAATAGCTACACATGAAGAAAATATGATTCATGCTTTTCATCTTCCTATTTACACAAAATACAACAGCCATCAGTTGTAATCCCCTATTAAGTCAACCTGTATAAGGAGCCTATTAAAAATGGTCATCCATGTAATAACTGCATGCTTAGGAATGTGTAACTTGCATTAAATGAGCCTATGCCAAACCACTTTTTCCTATTTAGTCTTTAGTTCCTTCTATGTAGTTGCAGCTGAGTAGCTTGAGCCTTTAGCATTAAAACCCTGAACTCAATATTCTCCATCTATAAGGATGATAACGGTTCGAATTGAATCGAATTCAATTCAATTTTTTTAAATAATGCATAATTTTTTAAATTTTTAAAATTTAATCTAAATCTAAACCAACCTTTTTTTGAAATTAATCTGATCTAAATCAAATTTTACTAGTTTGGGTCAATTCATTAGTTTTTAAATTTTATTTTTTTTGTTTTTTAATATATTACTTTAATAGAATTTTTAATATATGTAAATAGATTTATATATATAATACTTATGTTTATTTTATAAAAATTTAAAATATATATAAAAACTAATAAAAATATATAATTTGGTTCAATTCGATTTTTCATACCCTAACCTGAAATTCGATTTGAACTTAATATATATATTTAATAGATGAATATAATTCGAACCGAATAAAAAAATTGATATGAACTAAATCAAATACTACGATTTTGAATCAATTTTTTATTTTTTTAATTTTTTTCTCACTCTTATCCATTTGTAGCACCTTCCTTATACTCAAACTATTTTTGGTGTTGCTTGTATTTATTATCTTTGTGATGTATAATGATGCTTAGACTTTGTATGCACCACCACCATCTGCTTCTAAACATGCTAGGGTGGGAAATTGCATGAGTATAGGGCTTGTCTTTACCAGGTTTCCTTGGTTGTATGTTCACAGTTTCTCAAGTATACATATTGAAAACTTTTGGGTCACGAGGATCTGTAGAACTAATTCTAATATGTCTCTCACAAGGCAGGATGGGAAACATATTTGCACTTGTATGTTACAGATATCTGTTGTCGGCTTCATGTTTGAGACCTTTGATATACATGTATTTAAAATTGGTATTCACCATTCGAAAAGTATTCAAAATAAAGTTTATGACTGTTGGAGAGATAAACCACACTTGAATCTCATGGGAGCACACCAGAGAGCCCATACATACATGTTGGATACCACTTAAGCCAAAAAGTTTAAGTTATTAGGTTTTTGGGTCCTTCATGCATATATAAGACATTTCATTTAGATTTTCTAATGATGAGATATTTTTTTTACTCACATGTGAACCATATCCCAATAATCTCCCTCGTTCACTTGTGAGTTTTAATCAAGTTTCACATCGGCTCCCTCATGTGAGTAAGCCCTATCAACACCTCCTTTGGGCCAGGCAACCTCATATTTCTAGTGTGCTTTTGGGCCAAGGCATAGCACTCAACCTGGCTGCCTAGGTTGTCTCAGTACTCTCTCAAACTTACACTTCAAGTTAACTCAACACATCGCCCACTTGAGTGTTTCACTTTTGCATATTATCATAGACTTGCAGCATCCAAATCGAATCTTTTAATTCCGACATTTAATCACATGAAGTTGATTGACGCGATCAACCTCCGATCTACCAATAATTTCCCTCCCAGCAACACTATTAGGACTCAAACCCGTCATAACCTTGACTTTGATACCACTTGTTGAGGAAATAAATCACACTTGGAGTTCATTTGAGCACACCAGAGAGTCCATACATATATGTTGGATACCACTTAAGTCTAAAAGCTTAAACTATTAGATCCTTGAGTCCTTCATGCATATATAAGATATTTTATTCAAATTTTCTAATAACGTGAAATTCTTTACTCACATATTAATCATATCCTAACAATGACAAGAATTAAATCATCATAATGTATGGTTTCCCATTGCAATTTATGAAATTGCAGGCACATGATAAAAATCTATTCATAATTTATTAGTCAGTAGTGAAGCTTCTGTCATATAGGTGCTCTTAACAGATGTAACTAAGTTGTGATCAATTGTGTTTTCAATCTACCAACTTTCAAAATCACCATTAATGACTAGTAAGAAAATATGGTTTGATTATTGAAAAGAGTGTGATTGCCTTTATCACGTCTCCCTTTGGTCACATGTTTAGGCCCTTCGTATTGACATTATCTAAGTCTAATGACATTGGTTAATGATAGACCTATGATCTTGCGATCCCAAGGTACAAGAGATAGGATAAAATATTGATGCCTGGGAATTTGGGATTCTTTTTGTATCGTACAATTGTCATATGCAAGAGATTGCAGTCCCATCAGCAGTATATCATCAAATTGAAGTGATTAAAATGGGCTACTTTTGATCGCATGATATATATACAGCGTCATCCTGTTATTTGCATTTTGGCTTCACACGAGAGAAAGAAAAAACCATTGTGGAACCCATTTTACATTATTTCCTTGCCTATGACAAAAACTTTGCTAGCTCATTGACAAGTTGTTAAATTGCAGCCAGAAAACAGCAATGTAATTGGTTCTTCTCTCTTTTTTCTCTCTTTTGGGTGGGGGCTGAAAGTATGGCTACTTTGTGAACAAATGTGGGAAGATATAGCAATAGTGAATTGACAACCATCATGAATTTCCAAGACTTGGAAGAATTATTGATAACAAAAGACAAAAGCTGATATGTTGCTTTCAAAAAATGGAAGTTGCTTTCAGATTTACTATCGCATAGCATTTTAAGAATAAGAGAATTGAAAGAAATGAATGAATGAAATCTTCACATACGTACTATGACGACATAAGTTAATGAGGAAATTCAATCAAATGAATGAACTATGGTAAAGACAACAAGGTTAGCATTAAACAGACTGGTTGACGAGTTGCTTTCAAACTTCCACCGTTACTCCAAATTTACACAGGTTGAAATTCTTGATTCAGTCTGATTGATTTATGTAATCACTGAAAAAAATGATACTCAACAAGTTTGTGGTTCTAATTTCAACACTTACATTTCTTTTTCCCAATCTTCAAACTACAAACTCTTTCATAATAAGAAAAAATTTACAATAGTTGCTCATAACATGCAAGCTGCAACTAGTATTTATCATAGACAAGACACAAGTCCTATGTTATTAGTCAACCTTGTATAAGGCCATAATTGAATAGAGGTGCCTTGCTAGATAGTTCGTATGTACTTAGGATAAGAATTTCCATTTCAAACATTTTAATAGTTACCTGTAGTATATATACTTGTAAAATCCCTCCAACTTTTTAAAAGGGATGTGCAATCAGAGGATGTTGGGCTGCTTCCCTGGTTAAGATATGTGTTAGATCACCCAACTTAGATCACCCAAGTCTCTTTGAACCCAACGATGGTGTGGAAGATACTAGACTCCTTTTGTTGCTACCTTCTTGTGTGTTTTTGGACTAACTTGTGCCTTATTTGTTGCTTGATCATGTATTCTAATTCTCTTTTACTGACTTCTGTGGAAGAGTCCAGGTAAGTGCCTCATGAACTGGCGCTTGATCCGTGACACCCTGAATGTTTTATTTACATGGTTTTTTCTCTTTTTTGGAAATGAATGCTGCAGCAGTGATTTTGCTATCAAGGCCATTCGTCAGGGTCAAGTAAAAATGCCAGAGAGCCTAAATCAATGGTGGCATTGTCATTAAGACAAGGACTTTTGGTCCAATCCTTGAACATTGCATCATCAAACGGCAGGGGTTGCACAGGATCCTCTGATAGATTCTTGTTGATGTCATTATTCTCCTCAGATTCTCCATTGATTGTTTGCATCTGATCATTGATTTCAAAGTTCAAGAAATCCGGGCCACAACTATAAAACGCATCGAGCACTTCTGTTCCATGGTGAGTTTGAAATGTTGTTTTATTGTCCATTTCTTGATGATTTGTCAAGTAATAAGGTTGATAATCTTGAAGCTCGGAAGGGTCCTGAAGTGTTAAGTTATTAATATCAATATCTTGAGTTGCTGCTGGCAGCAATGGGACCAGGACTTTGCTGCTACACCTAGTGGCTTTAGTCCGGATCCCTTGGATTTTGGATTCTGTAGACTGTGGTGAATTTGAGGGTTCGTCGATTTGGGACTCAGTTGTTAGCTCTTTGTGTGTAGATTTGCTCGGCGGAGTTTCTGTGGATGCTGGCGAGGATGCTTGAGCTTTGGCTCTCTTTCCCAAAGTAGTGTTCCAGTAGTTTTTGATTTCATTGTCTGTTCGCCCAGGTAGCCTTCCAGCTATTAAAGACCATCTGCGGAGGATCAAGGAAGCATAGGCTGAATAAAACCAACTATACATGTAAAATCATGTAGATAAACATGAAAGGGGGAGAGACTTATCAACCTGTTGCCAAGAAGATTATGGAGTCTGATTATAAGCTCCTCTTCATCATGGGATATGTTGCCTCTTTTGATATCCGGTCTAAGATAATTTAGCCATCTAAGTCTACAGCTTTTGCCACATCTCTTCAAACCTGCATTTGGTAATCATCAATTGCAACTTTTGGGTCTTTTTGAAGGGTCAAGGTAAAAGAAAACAGAGAGAAAAGCGAGATAAAAAAGCACTTCTTAAAGAGGCAAAGCAAAGTGTGAAGGATTTAAAAGAAATAAAAATACCAGCTCTGTTGGGGAGGCTTCTCCATTTTCCTTGCCCGTGAGCCTTAATATATGCTGTAAGTATTTCATCTTCCAATGCAGTCCAGGTTCCTCTGTTGAGTCCTTCCTTGGAGCAACAAGGACTCCTCCCCATCCTCCTTTCTTTCTCGCTGTCTCCCTCTATTTCTAAAACTGTAAAATGAAGACTGAAGAGGACCATGGCCCTCTTATAGCCGCCATCAAGTCAAGAAACTAGACCGCTGAAGTAGTAAACGTGATTGTTGTAAAAATATACATGTTGGTTTGCTTGGCCTTCTAGAAAGCTAATACTAATGTCTGACAAGAAACACTTTGCTTTTGGCCCAAGATTAAAATTTGAACGCCTAGCTTTTAGTTGAAGAAGAATATCATTGGCTTCGAGTACGTTGAACTTTGAGATTCTCTGGAGTTGTTGGAATTGATAATTTATATATTTCAATTTTGCTTATTTCATGTTAAATACATATAAAATATAAAAATTATCGTATCAATTTTATTTTAACATATTAAATATAAAATATATTTTTTTAATTTTTATCAAAACTCATATATAATATTAACTAAAATTTTAAATCATATTATTTTTATATTTTTTTCATTTTTTTTATATTATATCACCATATAATATTTAAAATTAACAAACCTAATTACTATCAACAATTATTAAGATTCAATTATTGAATCAAATATTAAATTGACAATGTTGGAAGGAAAAGATTCTCTCTATTATAAGGAATGAAAATGAAAAATATTTTTTTAGTGAAAGAAAAAAAGTAATACTACCAAGCGAATAATCTAATCTTTTAGTAAGTGGAAGATCAGGATTGATATATACTAGTGCATACTTTTTCATGGAAATAAATATGATATGTTGAGTGTGTTTGGCAGCAGATGATACACATGATCCTGGAAAATCTGTGCTTTTTCCTTTTCAATTTGTCCAAGAATTCTCATATATTTATACATTCGATTTGTCAGTATAGTGGTCCGTGAGTTGGGTCGGTCCGATTGTCATTTCCAAAAATTATGTCAAGGTCCTGTTTGGTCCGTCGAGTTAGTTATCTTAAATTTTTTTTTAAACTATATTAAAATATTAGTATTTTTAAATATATTTTAAATTAAAACTAAATAAAAATAAATTTTATTAATAAAATAAATTTTGGATCTGACCAAGTTGAACTCAAATTCCGAAACTCATGTGATAGTTAAATTCACTTGATCGATTTAACAACAAAACAAGAAAGACTCGTATTGAAACTTTTTTAACATTATAATAAATACAACAATAAATATTTTTCAACTAATTTTAAAATAAGTAATATATAATAATTTTTCTAAAAAATTTTGAAATAAATAATAAATCCCATTGAATCTGTTCTTTATTATCTGTCCACATAAAAGTCTCATTAATTTGATGCTAGCATCTAAGTTCTAAATAGCTAGTAGTAATAATTAAATAAATTATATATATATATAGAGCGAGGGATCTATTATAGAATCTGGAGAACATTTTAAACTGATTCCTGTGACATATGTAAAGTTATATCTGTGAGAAGCACTGTGACAGCTTATACTAAGAGTTGCTTTCCTTTAGGTAATAAATCTTCGTTTCCTTTAGGAATTATTGGCTCTATAATATTTATTGCTTTAAGATCTACAACCAAGAAAGAGGAGCATGCAAGAGAAGTCGTAGGCTAGCTAGAATTTATTATTGGTTGCGAATAAATTGGCCGCTTCTTGAAAAAAGCATACGTACATTGTATGAGCTCTCCAAAGGCCCATTAAAAAAGCATACCTACATTAAACAAGCATATATAATTTTGCTCATCAAATAAAACCTTCATAACTTTAATAACCAAGATGACTCTTAGCTTTCGGCAGGTTGGTGATGAAATTTTGGGAGAGTTGGGTTTGTTATCAATGTTTCTTTTCAAGTTTCAATTTCTTTGCATTGTGTTTGGTCTAGTTTTCTTGTAATGACTACTTATGATGCTGCTGCTCATAGATTTAATTTTTTTAAGAATGAATTTATAAATATTCTTTAAATTCAAATGAAAATTCAATTTAATTTCCAAAAGTCTTAGAAATTTTGCAAGAAACACGTTAAAATGAAAAAAAAAAAAAAAAAAAAAAGTTGAAAGGTTCATCTAGACTTGTACTTTTTACCTACTGAAAGATTGGACAAATTAATTTCAATAATTTAAATTTAAATTTTAACAATTTCAAATAAAAAATAAAATAAAATTTATGGTTTCTCACTCTTGTAATGTCATAAGTTAATTCAACAAGGCCCATCCAATAAGAAAAAGAAATTAGCAGAAAGCAAGACCTGGCTGGTGGTGGCATTAAGATCCGGCCCAAAACAACACTTATGGAATAAATTCAACGAGGCCCATCTAACATGAAAATGAAAATAGAAAAGAGACACAAGACCTGGAAAATCTAGACCCAAAAGTAGCCCTAAACTGAAAGGACTGGCTAATGACTACACTAAGAAACAAGAGAAAAGGAACGAGAACATACCATAACTTTATTATTCAGGTACGTGGAGATGAAATGAATATATATATATATATAACACAATATTTCGTTCATATTTTATTAAATTTCACTTTACAATATGTCGCTTTTGAAATTATTAGTTAAATTTGGTGCAACATTAAGAGTGAGGACGTGGTTCTACTGTTCTAGAATGGGCAGAGCTTTCACTATCGAGGAGGGATTATACAAGGGAGGTTCGACTCCTGAAAACAAAATTCTCACAGATTATATCAAAGAACATGGTCAATTAGAAAGTCATTTAATCAACAATGGCAGTCATTAGTCTGAATACAAATAGAAAAAGCCTGTACAAAAGCTTGCACTGGAAAAGAAATCCAACAAGGCCACCACCACGTAAAATTATGATAATAAAATTAGATATATGAATTTAAAATAAGTAATCTGTTAATAAAATATTAAATTTTTAATTTTAGTAATAGAAGTTCAATTTTAATAATTTCATTTACTAAAATTAAAATAAATAGGTAAAAAATAAAAAGCCAAAACTTTGATAGGCCCAAGAAGAAAATTATTGGTGCAGTCTCCAGGGCAGGGGAGGAGAGGGGAGAGTTAATTGCTGCTGGATGCAGGCAAGCAATCAAAGATAGTGCAGAAAAACAAGGGGAGTGTTCTGCCGAAAATCAGATGCAGCCATGTGAATCGGGTCACCGTGCGTTGTCTTACAACTGATGTCATCTCATCAGTTCAATAAAATCAAATGTATTCAGATTTCAAATTTTTTTTCAACTCTATAATAGAAGAGGGAAGCCCTCATAACATATCTCTAAGACGTCCTATGCCATGCAGAGCAGGCCCCACTCGTACACGTACTCTCCAATTGCATGCACTGTTCCCAGGAGAAATCAAGATATGCCTACTCTTTTAGCCCAAACGGAAGCATCATCTACGTAAAAAACATAGGCATTCTACGATCATTTTTTACCCTATTTGAGTAATTGAGTTAGTTGTTTTTCTGCTATATTTTATATATCAATTACTTAAAACAACAAGAACTTCATTTGTAATTAAGTACTCAGTACTGTTCTTAATTGCTAAAGACAATGTTATTCTCTATCCGTTTCATTACAGCCAAAACTTCCAACCAATAAATGGACAATGAAAAAGAAATGTCAAGTTAGAAGCTAAAGCAACGACATTATTGTGAACAGAAGAGTAAGACATAGACTGAGATTCAAATTTTGAAACTAAAAATGGATTGTTGGACCAAAACTATACATGGTCCATAGGCAGATGAAACAAAAGAAAAAACAAAGAATAAGAAAAAAGTAATGCCTACCACATAAATGAGAGATGTCTACATTCATTTAATTTTTGATCAACCATTTTTAGATGGATTGAGATTAGTAATTCACGGCCTAACATATTTGGTCGAACATATTGCTTATAAACAGTCAGTTTTAATGAAAATTTAGCTCAAACTCAAAAGTTAATAGCAATATTGTGGAACTAAACACACCATTGGCTTTGAACATCTTTGAGAGTGGAAAAAGAATTACCTTGTAGCAGACCGACTTTTACCATTCCATTCTTTACGTTCACCTCAATTCTCATTCTCCCCCATAACTGTCATTATCATCATCTTCTTGGTCACCCTCATTCTCCACGTAATTTCCATGGCTTTCATTGTCCTTTCCATTGCTTCCTTGTACTACATTCTTAGCAACTGCGCCATCAAAGTCCATTTTTGGGGAGTTCATTTCAGAAACTTTAAGGTTCCCACTAGCGTTAACTGGTGTAATCCCAAGGTCTCTCTCAGGTATATAGGCATCTAAAAAGTCTGAATCACCTTGCTGTTGCATCTCAATATCACTGTTAATCAAAGGCGCAGGCGAAGTGGGAGAAGTAATGGGTATTCTTGAGTAGAGCTGATCCAATTGCTCAAAATAAGGGCAGGTTTTAGATTGCTGAGAGCGCTTCTTACCATTTTCTTTGCTCTTCCTGAAATACTTGTTTATGTTCTCCCATTTTTCTTTGCACCTTTTTGCACTTCTTTGATAACCAAAGGAAGCCATGAAAGAGCTCACCTCTTCCCAAAGAGGCCCCTTTAATCCAGATTCTCGAAAATTTGACTCTAAGTGACATCGCACTTGAATCAAGGCCTCAACTTCAGCTCTAGGCCACCTGCTATTGTTATCAACCTTCACAGGCATGCTTTCATTAAAAGGTTCAATTGCATTATCTGGCTGCAGTAACAATGGAGTTCTTGCCGGAAGATTGATGCTTTGACCTGTAATTTTCTCCAAATACGAAACAATAAGAGCCTCTTTACTTGAAGCTAAAGCTTGTTCATGCGCTCTTGCAATGGCTTCTCTATTACGCTTTTCAGCCTCTTGTCGCCTCCACGATTCTTCTTTCACTGACCTTTCTTTATCCATTCTTTCAATCACTTCCAAGAACCTTTTATGAAGACCCTCTTGATGTTCCGTCACTTGCTTCACCAAACTCTCAAAAAACACAACCATTGAACTCAATTGCTCTTTCATTTTCTTCTTCCTCCTCTTCTTTTGAATCTTCCTTAATGAAGCTTCTTCTCCAATAGAAGTCTCCGATCCATGATCAACCCCGGTTGCAAGATTACCAACCCCATCAATTGCACCTACATTATGCCCTTGAAATTCACTTAAGGGCATGGAAATACCAACATTTGCAGGTGAATTTTCACCAGTGAGAGCGGACCCAGAACCAGCATGAGTAGTTTCTCTACCCTTTGCAAGGCCATAAATAGCTTCAAGCTCACCAAATAGTCTATATTTGTTATCCAAATTCTTGCTTCTCTCACCTGTAAATGTAGCCGTTTGTAGCAAAACCTTGTTGCACTTATTCCTCTCTATCTCTCTAGCTTCATCTCCATTGCACTGCCTATCTTCACATCTGTCTAGGGGCTTCCTGGTAACATTTACACAAACACATGGGTGACAAAGAAGGGAATTTTGAAAACAAAAAAGCAACATTTTTCTTTGAAAAAAAATAATAGAAGTAGATATTAATTACTATAATAAATTACCAAAAGGGTTCTTTGATGGGAGAATCTTCTTGGGGATGCCAACAATGGGGCATCAAAATGGAATGTTGTTGTGGCCGGCGATTCTCTGGAACATGTAGCTCGTTTCCATGGAGAAAAGCAGCATCATTTTGTTGATGATTCAAAGCTAAAGCAGCCTCTTTCTTCCCACTATTTTCATCAAGACCCAACTTGAAATTGATTGCCAAAAAGGGTAGTGGATGGACATGATGATGAGCAGGTTCTGGTTGTTGTTGAAATGGTTGAAACTGATGATGATGATGTTGGAAAAGCTGATGGGTAACAGGAACTGAATGTTGCTGGGAAAGGTTTTGCTGTTGAGAATGTAATGAGTAATTTGGATGAAAAATTGATTGTTGTTGTTGTTGTTGATGATGAGGATCGGAAATGGAGAAAACTGAAGAAGAAGAGGAACCGTCATCATCCATTAACTGCTGTAGCTGTGGATGATGAGCACCATATTTAACAGAACGCATAGTTTTTCCTTTTCTTTTTTTTTTTTTGGTTAAGTTTTTCGTTTGGTGTAAAATGTAAATGGAAGAAACCCAAAATAAGGGCCTTCCTTTCTTAAAAAGAGAGAATTAGAGAGAGGAGAAAATTGAAAGGGTCCTAAAAGGGTGAAGAGTGGGAGTGAGGTGAGACTATGAGAGATGAAACTTAGAAACAAGGGATAGATGCTTCTACATGTCATCTTTCTCTTATTTGTAGTTAGGGTTTTGATTTTATCCCCAAAATAAACAAAAAAATAAATATCCACTTTTTAAAAATTAAAAATAAAAAGTGTTATGGGATTATAAACTATAATCTTTACTTAAATTTTCATTATCACTTAATTTCTTTTTCAACAATTATCACTTAATTTTCTCATTTTTCAACAATTATCACTTAATTTACTCATTATCAAATCTGTTAGAGAATCAAACTGGATTGACTCAAATCCAGTCTTGAGTAAACTTTATTTAATTCAAGCTCCATTTTCAACTAGTGATATTATTTTATTAATTATATTTATTTTTACTTAATTTTTCTTTAAATACATTAAATTATTAAAATAAAAATATTTTCAATGTTTTAATAATAAGATGAATCGAACTTAAACATAAACATAAAAGGCAGTGTTTGTTAAAGCATAATTGCTCAAAAAATCATGGTGATCTACTCATGGTAGTTAGATCATGTATTTGATAATCAGTTACTAATTTTACTTTGTGCTAATTTTAGATCATTAAAAGTGATTAAATTACTACTTTGGAGAGTGATCTAATTTCTATCCAAATAGGTAAAAAAACTTTTATCAACGAAATAAAGTAATATGTAAAATTAACAATAGTTAATATTACTCATTTAATATATAAATTAAAATTTATTTCTACTTAAAATTAATTGTAATTATTTTATATTGTAATTTTTATATTTTCAAACCAATATTTATTGTAACAAATGCAAAAATATTTTGTGTGATTTTTTAAAATTTTATTTATAATATAATTTTTAATTTTAATATATTAGTTTTATATTCTAATTTAAATATCTTTTACATAATTTATACAATAAAAACTAGTTTACTATTAATAAATATATTTTTAATTTAATAATTTAATCATATTTATTATGAAGTAAATAAAAAATTACTAATATTTTTTATAAAAATTATTAGTTTTAAATAATATTGAAATCATTGATTTATGTAGCTATTATAACGTGTATGGTTATTTTGATAATTTCAAACAAAGTAATGTTTGAATTTTAGTTTTAGTAATACCAAACACAATAATTTTTAATTACTAAGAATTAATGATTTTTAAACAAACAAAATGATAAGATCACCTCAGTAATTAGATCATCTTGATATTTATATTATCATAATAATCTTAAAAATGATACCAAACACTATCAAAATTTAAAAATATCAACTAGGTCTGGTTTAGCTCAACCCAATTCATAGACACTTTTATTAATTATCCTCTTTTAATTCCTTTTTAATTCTTAAAAAAGGCCAAGTTGGAGCTTGATCTTGAAAACCTTTTAATTTTTGACAATGATTACAAATTAATTAATAAATCATTAGGCAATAGTTTGCTATGAATTTGAGACATGAGAAATATTTTCATGATTATAATTTAATAATTTAGATGTATTTATGTTTAATGTACTATTAGTATACAGTGTTATGCACCATAAATTATCACATCATTATTAATAAATTTAAAGTTTTAGAAATTTTAAAAATAAATATTTAATTATTTAATTATGATAAAATAAATTAATAATGTTGCTATTTATAATGTACTAATAATATATAATATTTATACATAAATAATGTATCAAATATAAATTTAATTTATATTTAATTTTAAGGAGCAAGATTTTTGCCAATTTTTTAATTAGGTCATCATTTGCTTCATTTTGCATTTTATCTTTTTAGAATAATTCTCACGTATTAGATTAGCGATGTCATTGCAAATTTATTTTTCCTAAGGATCATATTTAATCATGCTTTACTCAAAAGCAGAAGGGAAAAACACACATTATTTGAGTTTAAAAGGCCAGAATTCTTTTGCCTTTAAATTCTTAATTTCCCCACGCTTTATCCAACATTTGTCGTAATCAAACATGTATTTGGGTGTAAATATAATAGGAAAATTCTTTTTTTTTTTTTAATTCTGAAAGGATGAGTTAGTAAACTCCATTAGAAAGGCAAATTCAATAGCAATAAAAATGTTCAATTAATTATTATGTTTAATAATGAGCAGAACAAGGGAGTTAGAAACTAAGGTTGACAAAATTAGGAAGGACAAAAGTGATAGGTGAAGAATGGAGCCAAATTAAAATAGAGATTTGCAATAGGAGATACCGAAGGCAAAGGGTTGGTAGGGTCCTAAAAGGTTCGTAGTATTTTGTATTTGGACATCACAGACATCCTTTTGGAAGTATATAATTTATGTGCACGTGAATTCAATACAGTACATTGTCCTCATGTCTCCTCCCCCCCCCCCCCCATTTTTTTTTTTTTATATAAATTTCTGTCATATGGCCCATTGGCATTGCACATCCCCTCACCCAACTCTCCCAATCCTCGTTTTTATGGACATGAGATGCAGCTATCAAGCTTTTCTTAACCCATGCAACAGCTTGGAATTAATGTAACCATACAAGCATCCTCAATTTCTCATGTTGGTGGGTTTCGGGAATTATTGTTATTTTTTATGTTTAAAATTTAAATTATTGAAATTTAAAAATTCAATACTTTACTATTAATTCATATGATTATTAGCAAAATTATTGCTATTTACACTCTCTCTCTCTCTCTCTCTCTCTCTCTCTCTCTCTCTCTCTCTCTCTCTCTCTCTCTCTATATATATATATATATATATATTTGATTTTAAAATTTTTCTTGTCTTCTAGTACGGAGGACAGGGGTTAATCGGTATATTTTTAAGATAAATTCAAACAAGACAAGATCAAGGATACCAAACTGAATCTGTAAAAAATTATTTCTAAAGGGTCATGTTCACATGACCACTAAATCAAGCTTGTTGATTGCTCAAATCTTTCTATTCAATTATTTTTAAGGAAATAACTGAATCGGGAAAAAGAACAATCCAAATGGTTCAAGAACTGGAAAACATGAGTTAGCATGAGATTCAAGAATTTGGTGGATCAAATGACATAATTTGCTGAAAGATTACCAAGAATTTTGGTGAAGAAAATTCTTTGAACTATTCAGATATGGTTTACTTAAATTCTTTGGAGTATTCATAAATGAATTACTGGACCCAATTTAGATTTTTTTTTTCTTTTGATATGCAAATGATTTTGGGATGCTTACATTTATAAGTATTAGACAAAAATGGACTAATAATTACTAAATTTGTAAAAATTGAGTATATAAGTGTTTTTTTTTTCTCAAAAATAAAAAACACAAGTGAATTTTAACAATAGTATTAATAAGAATATTTAGTTTAATTTAATTTATATTTATATTTATATTTTAAAGTATTAAATATTTTAATATTTTTAAACTTTAAATCTCTTAAACATAATAAATAAGATCGAACTTTAACCAATCTACAATTCTCCTATCAATTGCTACTGCACTTGCAAATGCGGATATAATAATACTATTAAACTATAGATTTAAGCAAGCGTTTACTTAACCCATTACAGCCCAAATGGCCCAAAGTCTGTAACGAAGGTTAAGAAGTGAAAGTCCTAATCGATCCAAAAGACAATTGCACCCTTGTTGACCTTTTTCCTACTTGTTTTCCTCTCTCCGATCGCGATTATTCTTTGCTGTTGTTATCTAGTTCAGATATATGCCCTTTTTAACCTTTTTCTTGAAACCAGCTACAGCTCAAATTCACCGCAATAACTTTGTTTTGTTTTGGATGCTTCACACTTGTTACATTTTCAAAGCATCATCTTTCCAGAATGAGAACTTGAAAAAGTCATTAAAAGTTTTGAAGGGGACTGATGATTGTTGTTGGGAGGGCCATGCGCTTGGGGTACAAGACTCTGGGCAGTTGTGCTTGCTTTCCTCTTCTGCTTTTTCCAATGCCTTGTCAATAAAAAATAAACATAATTCACTTTTGAATGCAAGCAATTAAGACAGAAGGGGACAAAACTCCCCTTGGTCTGCCTTGATCCACAAGTATATAAAAACACTTCCGGTTCTGTGCTCATGGGTGGACTGACATATAGTTAAGGATGAAAAGTTTTTCACTTGGACTTTGGATGCTATTGGATGTCATATTCAAATAGAGCAGACACAAGCCTTATAAATTCTTTAAAAATTGAGAGTTGAAACTCACTTCCTTTAAGTTTTAATTAATTCAAGCTATAGTGTACAACAAAATGCCCAAAAGCTTGGGGAAGTATTTAAGGCAGCACGGAATCAAACGGCACTTCCTACAAGCTTTTGCATAATGACATGAAAGAGATGGTTAGGTGTTCCAAGGAAGCCTGCTTCCAACCCATGGCTATTACTCACCAGATTGTGCTACGTGTAGCACATTCATTTATCAAATGGTGCAAAATTAAAACATTCTGCATATAATTTTCTTTTTTTTTTTTTCTGTTTTTGAAGATTTGGGGTTATATTCGAATAAATTTAGAGATTAAACTAAAATGAAATGATTGTCACAGATTTTTCAAAATAGTTTGGTTTGTGGTAATAGGTGCAGGTGAGAATTGGCAGTACGTTGATATTATTTTCATGTTATTCTTACCTGCCTTATAACCCTAGGACATTTGGTTTATGTTGAAAACATTGCTGATTTAGTGAAAAAGGTATGATTACTTGTCAGAATAAAATGTAAGAGGCATTTGCTTATGCGAAGTAATTATTTCAGCAATCTTTTTCTCTGGACCGATTTGATTGGAAACAAGACCAAGGCTAATCGGGGCAGAACCCGAGATGATGGAAATGATAATACATGACAGGAAGAACTTATATAGCCAAGCTGGCCTAGCAGAACTATGGCAATACATGTACTAATTAATCCGGTAAACAGGAAATGATACCAACATTTGCAATAAGCCAATGAGTTGTTGTAACTTGGTTGATAGGTGGACAAAATTAGTTAGTCTTGGAGGAACTTGTGAACTAGATGTTGCACCTGAGTTCCATATTCTTGCTGCTGATGCTATTGCTCAAATGGCTTTTGAAATAAGCTATAAAGAGGGAAAGAAGATATTTGAACTCCAAAAAAATCAAGC